TATATATATATATATATATATATATATATATATATATATATATATATATATATATATATATATATATATATATTCATGCTAGCATATTCGTATGTTGTGCCTAATTTTGGTAACTCCGCATGGGACACTTCGGATTTAGTAAGATAGTGAATTTAGTTCAATTTTTGGCATTTTATCCCTTGTCCTCATTTATTGCTTTCCATGTCAATGTCGCTTGTCTCAGGGAACGGAGAAAACGGCATCTACGGAGCGCGTCACAACTCCATTCATGACAAAGTATGAACGAGCACGGATTCTTGGCACGAGGGCACTACAAATTGCGATGGGCGCACCAGTTATGGTAGAATTGGAAGGAGAAACTGATCCACTGGAGATCGCACGAAAGGAGCTCAAGCACCAGAAGATACCGCTTATCGTAAGAAGGTGGAGTTCTGCTTTTAGTTGGAACGTCCGGAAAATGAACATGAGAGACATATGTTTTATTACCATTACTGTTTGATCTTTCATTCTTTTGTCTCTTTTGATGAAGAATAGAAATGCTTTAATTTTTCGTGAGTTGGTTTACTACCCATAGGGAAATTCATATGGGATATATGTCTCCTAATGTTCCCTATTCCATCTCCATTTCATTGGTTTTAACACCAAGCAAAGTTTGTCTTGCTTTACTTGTCTTTTGCTAAGAAACTTCGAGAAATCAGAGAAAATTCCGAATCTTCGATGACTTTAAATTATGGGTGGCTTGCAATTTGAAGAATTGAGTCAAAAAAACATTAAGATTTTCTGTGATTTTACCCAACCTAGTGAGGATCTCTTGTTGCAGATATCTTCCTGATGGTTCTTTTGAGGACTGGAGTGTCGATGAATTAGATGTTACTGACTGGTGATTTGATAATCATTTTTATTATTTATATATTTACTTGTTTTTGAAAAAGAGAAACTTAACATGTGCAAAAATCTTTGGTTAAGCAAAAATACTGATTTGAAGAGAATGGATTATCTGACTTATCATGAAATCATATCTACTATGCGCATGTTTTTACTTGTATTTGTTTGCATCTTACGCTGAAAATGAATACCAGAAATTCCATAATTCCATGCGTCCAGAAATTCCATGCGTCTTTTGCTGTGCCTAAGTGGTCTTTCTGGAATAATTCCACAAAATAAAGCCCTGTTGGGGAAAATCGAACAAGACGAAGATTTGAAATTTATTGAATTAATTCTGGAACCGATCTAATGATTTTGTTTGAATTACTGTAATATACATCCATGTACAGTTTTACTTAAATGTGGTAGTGTTTACAAAAAGAAACAATACTTATGCGAAACAGGTTTTCAATCCCGTGAAGTCGTTGCTATGTCGCTTTGTTGGATTACTTTTCGAAACCTATATTATACGCTTGGATGTTTTGTTTGCTTATCAATGGAGGGCGTAAACTTATAAGCCCTTTATATTACTTCGTTCCCACTTTTATTTCTTTATGAGATAACTTATTTTTCTACAAAACAAAGTGAATCTGTGAAGGATTTAACCTTAACAGTTTTGCGTGTAAACCTGTTTCCAACATAGAGACTGGAGTAATGATGGGATGTTGGAAAAAAGTGCACTTTGCACTTACTGTTCATTGATTATTAGAATTGATGATGAGCAAGAGAAGTTGGTTCAAAACTATAGGTAGATTATTCTTTATTTCTTTGTAGAACATCTTTGCACCTTTAATATTAAATGCATACTGATAGAGGCCTTGTTTTTTTTCAATTTTTTATTTTGAGGTAATGGCTCTGGCTACGTCTCTGAATTTGATTTGAAAGACTTAGAAAAATTTGAAAAATGAGACAAATAACAATGTTGATTGGAGACTTGGGAAATTATGAAAATATAGCATAACAAGGAGAAGTGTAAATTAGTAGAAAAGTCTGCTAACTGTACGACATAGTTCATGGGACCATTGATTATATCAGAATGAGGATATTAGATCTATCGATGTCGTGGAAAAAAATTTTCATTAAAGTGTCATCCGAAATAATTGCAGAAATGGTAACCCTAATGGTACGACTTCGGTTTGTCATTACGAAAGATTGTGGTTTCAAGGAAATCACTGTTACCTTTTGGATTAAATAAATTTAATTTAGAAGGACGGAATTTCCGCTTTTACTATTTAAATATTTCGAACTTCATGTCAGTTAGATTTGGATGTTTCGATTTCTTAATATTTCGAAGTGTACTTATCAAAATAGCTTATGCTTTTTGCGAAGTACGATTTGTTTCCACTGTGGAAGTGCATAAAAAGCTGTTCGTTCCATTCGAAACACTGACTGAAAGTCGTCGTCATTTAGGTATTGCTCTAGTCGATTCAGATCAACACCAAGTGGCAAATCCCGACTTGTCACTTTTTCGAGTGGCCAAGTTTTCGTCCGTAATCGTAACAGTTCGTCTAAATCGACTGGTTGACATCGTAATGAACTTTGCTGAAAACAATAAGTTTGATTAGTTTTTGTATGTTAACACTGCATTCGGTAAAGATGTTGAATATATGTAGTGAAAATTTGCTTCAGAAGGAAATGAGCGTGAGTGTAGAAAATGAACTGTTAGGTATTTATCCACTTTTTCCTCATTTCAAAGATTCTGGAATAGAATTAAACGCAAGTGTTACCACATTAAGCTCATTTTCATCAATTTCATCAATAAAATCGTCCCATTTGGCAAAGAGTGCTTTGAATGAATCCGGTTCTTGCGTTTTGCAAATGACGGTTTTTGGACCATTTCGACCAGACCAGTAAGCATTGGCTACATGTAATGCAAATGTACTGACTGTTTTATCGCTCCAAAGCCACAGTCTGTTATCCTGATCTACCATAATAGTATCCCTGAAATGTAGTTCCTTTAATTCAGATATCAAGCATATTTATCTGCAATACACGTACTGTTTACAAGTAAAAACTTGAGCAATTTCTATACGACACAATAGATTTTTGCTCTAAATTCTGCAATTAAATCTAAGACTTGAGCGGTGAGTTCAAATACAGTATCATTCAATGAATTCACAATAATCAGGTTGGATAGTTTGAAGCTGTTAAAAACAAACCTGAAACTGTCCTGTTGAAATGAGAATGGAAGAGAAGGATCCCAGTGTGTAGACAACAGTTCTTCACCATCTTTCTCAAACAATCGAAATAATCGCGGCGGCTGTAATGAAAATGTGAGATAAATAAAGTCAAAATAATAAACGAACATATAAATATAATAAAATTGAGGCAATCGCTATGCGAGCTTTATGCATATGAACCGAAATGAGTCTAGAAATGACATACCTTTATCCAATGATCTGCTTCAATTATAAGATAGTTTTCCGTTCCAGTTAAGTAACAGTGGTCAATAATTGGTTCTGAAATAAACTGTTCAAAGGCACTGTAATGCATTTTGACTTTTTTGGCGAAATTCATAGCTGCTATCTTTGAACTTTCGTTACTTCCAACTCCCTCCAGTATTGTTATTTTCCCATCATTCAATGCAATATATACAGCATGAGCACGATAAACGATGGGTAAAATCTGCTCTTCCATGCGAGCTTCACTGGAAATTGACGATCCGTAAACAAGGAAAATACCCGATCCACAACCACAAATAACCAATGAGCCTTGGAATAATCGCAAGAACAATGGTGGTTCTTGACCCTGAAAGTATTTGGTTCTTTTGATTCATTCTCTAACCTCAAATACGCTAATCTAACATGTCGTCCAGGATATGGTAGTATCGATATAGTTCAAATATTCTGTAAATCAAAGTATTGGAAAATGATTCGTATGTTTTTGATCAACACGGCAGAAGCAAAACACCTTTTAGTTTACTAGTTTTAAAAGTTAAAAATGACCTGTGCAATCCTTTCATGAGGAAAATGCGCTGTATCGTAATTTCTAAGTGCCAAAGCACAAAGTCCCTGCTCTGTTTTAGTGGTCTTCTTACCTAACCAATAGAAATACGCAACACGTGGGCGACCAGTTTCTTTTTCACGTTCAGTACCGTCCAGTTTTCGTATTCCTAAAATGTATCAGCACAATTTTTTCAAATCTGACAATGTATGTGAGGTCTACTAGGCCTGTAAGGGAAAGGCTGCCAAAAACATTAAAGACATTAAAATACAAAACTTACCAATTCGTTCTATCCGATATTCCCATTTAACAATATAACAGCGATCATCTTTTAAAATCCATAGTTCATCTATTTCATTTAATGCATTTTCACCATCCAAAACAAAGTATCGTATGTTCTCGGTAAAAATATTTTTGGAATTTCTGTACAATTTCGTTTTTTCCAGGATCAAAACTGGCTCTTCCACTGATTGGGATGCAAGATTTCTGCAATAAGTTAAATTTTGATTCAAGCTAATGTTTACAAGTTCTGGAAACAGACTATTCTTGTACTCCCACAGTTGAAGCTTCAATTTTAAATTTCTGTTTCCAAATTTTTTACTTCTAATCTTTCGGTTTTTCTACTACTGAAAGTTAAATTAATCTGAAAAATTTGCGAGACCTTCCTAAATTACATGCATCTTGTTCTTCATGTAATAATGAAGCTGGAGACGTGGAAGCTTTCCATTGTGCAGGCGTATTGTACGTGTGAAGAGTTACTTCTTGCCAGTCATGAAATTTGTGTTGAAAGAGCAAATCATTCAGTCCCTGAGTTAATTTGATGAGCAGACACCAGACTGGTCGAGTTACATCGAAATTATCACCCAATATCATCTGATCCACTCCAAAAATCGCGTTCAAAGGCCTAGTGCGCTAAAAATTGTCCATTATTAGTTATTTATTTTATTCATTACTAGTAATTTAATCCAATCATTGATGGAAGATTCTCTTGAGGTCTCAAGAAAATCTTTTATTAGTGATTAGATTTTTTAGATTCACTAAATGTCACCAGATCGCAAGTTCTCCCTGATTTTTGTATTTCTTGGTCAATGATTTTTTGGTCTTCGATAATTTGCAATATATTTATTCCGGTAAGCAGTAAATGTTTCAATGGTAATAATCATAAAATTTCGACATCAGATAACGAAGAAACTTACTACTGCTTTAGCGTACGCAACTGCATGCTGTGTTGCGATACGATTACCATTTCGACCAACCCAAACATAAATTTCAGAACCAAAATCAAAAATCAAATTCTATAATGCAAAATTATCACTCCAAAAGAAAGCAGATAAGATTTCAAATATAATTGGCCAAGAAGAAAATCCAACAATTTATTAGGCTTAAACTAGAAATTATCTCCATTGTGAAAACTGGTCCTCTTGAACAGACTTATTGGACTTATTGCGTGATTGCTACTTCCCCTCAGAATCCAGTCTAAGTAACTGAGTCGAATCACTGTCAATTAACTCTCATTTATCTTATAAAGTAAAAGAAAAACATGTGATGTTAACGTATTGTGATTCAGTTAATGTTCCTGAAATGTTATGACTTTTGTGCCAATACGTATTTTAATCAGCACGTAAACGTTTTTTTACCTCATGATAAGTAATTATTAAATAGTGAAAATCTAACCTTTTTGGGATGCAATATAGAGAACTTTGGGAGTTGGCCTGATGAGATTCGTTGTATGCCACAATGCTCATCAACTTCATAAATTGTATTTACTCTAGCGGCAATATTTTCAAACGGTTCGTTTAAGGCTAAGAGACTGTCTGGAACGTAATCCTCAGTTACGACAGCCTCACACTCTCCTTCATTCAACCCAAGCAAACGCCAAAATGCGCCGGTCTCCACTCCTTCGAGAACATTTTCAAAATGTTTCGCATTGCAACCTAATTCGCCGTTTTTTTCACAGATATTTGTAATTATTATTGCTGCCTGAAACTAACTTTTCATTTTGAAAATAAAAAAAAAGCAAAAGAATTAAAGTCTAGATATTGCATAAGTTGAATCAGTTTCAGAAAAAACAATAAATATTGCATAACAAAATTTTGAAGTAAGAACGAAGGGTCAGACTTGACTGAATTTCCGGAAGAATTGTGAATTATTCATCTCATTAGTTTAAAATGATTAAAGCCTAGATGACACCTTACCAAGGTATTTAATTATATTATGCAATAATATAATGTTAAGCAACAAGGAATGGATGATTAGGCAGCACAGCGGGAAATCAATTGCAAGGGCACTGGGAACAGAAGAAGACTGATTAGGTTGCATTTTAAAAAGAAGACTTACTTCTTTGTCAGTAAATGCAAAAAGCAATAATTATACTCAATTTCGAAGAATAAAAGATCAAATAACAATTCCAGCAAAATAGTTCAACTTATTTATCTTTGTCTTTTTTAATATTTATCACTTTGGATAAGATAGATAAAGCATAAATTTTTGAGAATAATCGTACGATTTGGGAAGAAAAATTAAAGTAATTTATTGATAAATAATTTCAGAACAGTTTGAAATATTAACTACCAAACAAATACCAAACAAATGGTTACTTTACTCCTCTCCAGTAAACTCGAATATTTCCCTTGATACAAGAATAGTTGCTTAGGCGCAATCAGAATGAATACAGCATATGCATGAACTGAAGTATATTTAGGTGCTACCAATCGAACATCAATATTCTTATCACCTGAACCATTGCATTTATAAATGAAAAAGTTAAATTTAGGAAGTAAAAATATGCGGGACAAAAGAATGTTTCCTGAAATGAGATTTACTCATCACATGAATCCTATTTGTTTTGAAACAGTTTTAATTGGAATGAATTAATAAAACCCTGATTTGATTAACTGGTCTAATTTCATGAACTTCTATGTAGTATAGAACATATTCTAATTTCATATTATCTCAAGTAAAGCAATAGTCATAAACCAGATTTGATACCGGCCTGAATTTTGATACCAATGGTCATAAATATGATACATCAGATCACAACCGATTTTCTAAACCCTGATTTTGAATCCAATACGAGTTAGCAGTGACTTTCATACCTAAATTATCGAGATGAAAATTCTTACTTCCATAGCGAAAAATCATCGGTTGTGATAAATAAAATGGTTAAAAAATAGATAACCTTTCACTCGAACAAGCATTAATTCTGGGTATGGTGATTTAAGTTCTCTTTTTTTAACTTTATAGCTGAATAATCCACTTTACTTTGTAAACCCTGAAACAAAAGTGAAGTTTTGTTAGAAATTTTCGAAAGTTTTTCAAAGTTACTAGTTTTCATCACTAGTTTAGTAAATGAGAAAAAACAAACTTTTTTGGCACTACTAGAGATTCCCACTCCATTATTTTCTTCCTGATCAATTTTCCTCTCACAATCGATAGGAAACGATAATGTGCCAATAACTGGTTGGAATATTAAGGGTTCCATCGGTCGACATGAAGCATTACGTCGATTACGACCACGTGTTGCAGTTCGAATCGGCACAGTCAATCTGGAAAATACGTGACACGGTTTTATATTCATTTCTCAACTTATTCACCTTTTATTTAGCCAATTTCGGAAGTATTAATTAGATTAAACATAGCATATGACTATTATGAATCATCCCTTTTACCACGATAGCTACTTTTGCCCATATTCTTACTCACATTTACTATTAAAATCATAATTCGGAATTCTCGCTTGTTTTCCCGATATCTCTACATTATTATAGTGGAGATAATATCATGATCAAATAGTGACATCATCTGTTACATAGTATCAAGGTGCGGTTTAACATGAAGGTTAAGATCGAGTGATTTTCATTTAGGTAGTTTGGTCTGTGAGTAAATTGAACAAAACATATAATATTTGTTAAGAAAGATAAATAAAGTCGAAAATTTGAGAATGGCGTGTGATGCATTCAACAGCAGGATAGTTCTGCTCAGTTATATAACCCCTTAATGTCCCTTAATTAACAAACAGTTTACAATTTGTGTGTGTGTACGTATATGTGTGCATTTGTGCGTGTATGTGTATTTGTGTGTGTGTGTGTGTGTGTGTGTGTATGTGTGTGTATGTATGTAGTACCTACCTCTCCACGGTATCATATATGCCAGTGATCCATAATTATGACATTTTATAATTTTGATTGAAGTTTATAATGTTGAAGTCGCCAGGTGCAATGTGTCATATATAGGGTCACTATTAGATTTTAACCATTGCTATCAACCATATCAGATTTGTGCACTGCGTATGGAAGTGACATATATATTAGTCACATTTTATGTCTACAAAAGCTATATCTGATGGCACTACTATGATCCGTTTCATAATACACTTATAAGTTGGAAGGATGAAAATGAAAGAAAGGGAAAATATTTTCTGGCTGATCAAATTACGGAGAAATTTAATTAATGATATATAGGAAGTAGTGTACTATGCTGAGGCAACCAATAAAGTGACAGCAGGACGGGAA